CCAGGCCAGCCAGGGCTACACAGAGCGGCTGTATCTCCAAAACGAACTCACTGAAAGGGGGTGAGGGCAGGATTCTTTTTCAGCCTTCATGACTCATAAGGACAGTTTACTTTTGGCTTATTTTTTCTGACCACAACCCAGGTCGCACTGATGGGTAAGTCAGTACATTGCTTGATTTTCTGAAGTAAAACTTGCCAGCTGCTAATCTCTGGTAGTTTTCTGATCAGCTCAACCAGATGGCACTTTCAGTGACAAAATTGTTCAAAGGGATTTCTATATTTTCTCTCTACTGTTTCTCATAAGTGCATGTTTTTGCTCATAAACACTTTATATATATATAAAATCCTAAAACATAAACATTCTATGATAGAAACTGTGGGTCACTGCCAACATCAGAATAGACTGGAATCATCATGTAGACCCTGTTTAGGCAAACAATCGAATAAAATTTTACGTATTTTCCTTAGTCACATTCACATTTGGTGGGACAGAGGGTGAGAAAGGGTCTCCCTGTGCAGCCCTGGCTAGCCTAGAACTCACTATGTAGACCAAGCCGGCCTCAAACTCAGGACTGATCCTCCCTATTATGGCTCACGTAAAGCCGGGGTAGTAGCACGCATCTGTAATCCCAGTGGTTTTATGGTGAGATGGGAGGCGGAGTTCAAATCCAAACTCATCATGGTGGTGGTGGGGCAGGAGGAATATGTACCAAGTTGGACGAAATTGCAGCTCTGGTCTTCCCGGTGGACCTTCAGCTTGCTAAGCCTCAATGTCCCCGTGTGTAAGACGGGAATTGCCATGTGTAGTTCATCATATTGGGAGCGAACCTACAGTCAGCATGCTAAGAGCCCAGCTCAGGGCCTGGCACACAAAGTGCCCTGGGAAGCCCAGTGCAGTTAGCCTGCAGCTGGTTCAGATCCACTGGGATGAATACAAGGATTACATTTTTGCATTTGTTTTCCTCTATATCCCAGGCTAGCTGCGAACTTGAATTCCTGATCCTCCTGCCTCGACTTCCAGAGTGCTAAGACTACAAGCATGGGACACCATGTCCGGTTTATGCAGTACTGGGGATCGAACCCAGGACAAGCACTTTGCCAACGGGGCTATACCTCCAGCCTTGTTTGTTTGTTTGAGACAGGGTCTCGCTAGTCGGTTTTAATATCAGCAGGTCACATAATGTGACCCTTGAAGCTGCACAGTCCTAGGGCTGAGTAACAAGGCCTCTTGGGAAATCACTGCTTTCCAAACAGGAGTCTCCTCCCACGGTTCTGTTTGGGTCTTAGGACAGCCATGAGAGGCTTTCTCGTGACTTAGCTAACTAAGCCTTCCTTCTTCAGACGTCAGAACTGGAAGTAGGGTAGAACTGTCACCTCGCTGCCGCTCACTGTGTCTTTCTGGTCCTAACCAAGTGTAAGCCATCCTTACCCTGCCCACCCCCTTAGAGATCTCCCGAAAGTTAAGTTTAAAGTCTATTCTTGTGTGCGTGCGTGATTCTGGGGCAGGGACCCCAGGCCCTAAGCAGGCAGGGTAGGCACTCTACCACTGAAACCTACCCTGCCCTAACCGTGGCTCTGACAGGCCCCTCTTCTACAGTTGTGGTGCCCACCGGACAAGGCCCTCAAGGGCAGTGAACTCACAAAAGCAAAGGGAGGAAACACTCGTGCCCGGTGTTGAATTAGGACTTGGGGCGCGTGACTTAATCAAACAGTGAGCGCTATTATCATGTGTTTTGTTTTGAGCAGCATATGAATTATTTTGGCCTTGGTTTCATTCCTTGCTAGCTGGGAGGCCTGGGACGGGTCCTTTAACCTTTCCGAGTCTCTATTTTTTTTTTCACTTGTAGGATAACTACAAGAGCGCAAAGGCTGGATGTGTAGGGTAGATGGGTGCCACCTACTCGTCCCATGATGGCCCCTGAATGCCAAGCCCCTCTCCCCTACCGGATGGTTTCTCTGCTGCACTCTGCATTCTTGGCTCCCACCCCTTCTTTTTTCCCTCTTTGAGCCCTGATTCTTTCTTCATGTCTGCCACCAGCATGGCTGAACTCTGGTCCTCCGGCTCTGCGGCAGGCTCCCCATTTCATATGCTTCGGGCTGGTTTTATTTTTTATTTTTTTCATTTCCATTTCTGCCCAGCAGGGAAGAAGGTCCCCTTTCCTTCTCCGGGCTCTGGAGGCACGGATTTGTTTGTTTGTTTGAAATCTCCTGTGTTGCAGGGACGGGCCTATGCCATCCCTTCCTCCTGCTGGAAGTCTGCAGACGGCATCGGGTCTCCCTTGGCAGCAAACATTTGAAACAACCCCAAGGCAGAGTTCAGAAAGTCAGCCGAAACCAATGTGTGAGCCAGTCCGGGTCTGCGGATCCTCCACCAACTGCTTTGGATTCCTCTACAGGACTGCATCCCCTGGGGGCTATTTACCCGGCCCTCAGCTGATACCAAGACTGGGTTTTACCACCACCCAGTGATAAAAACTACAAATACGGCAGGTCCCTTGAGGACTGACAGCATCTTTAGATGCCTGAGTCTAATCTACGGTTATTTTCATGATGTGGATTTGTACTCGCCCTCAGGCCTTGATTCTTTCACACCCTTGCAAATATACTCCCTGGATTCCTGGGCAAGGCAGCCTGGAGACCAACCCAGCAAGGAAAGGGGAGGGTTCACATCCTCTGAGAGCTTGGTGGCAGGCCCTGTGGGCGGAGCAGAGGAGTTCTCCTAACCTCTTTTCCAGGCACGAGAAGAATTCCCCTGGCCCTGACTGTGGGTCAGGAACATGGCTTCTGACTCCATCCTGTGAGCATAAGGATTGTGCAGGAAACCAGCGACGTCAGAGGAGGCTTGTATTCATTCATCAAATATTTATTGGGCTTCTGCTCTGTATAAAGCACCCTGCCGAGGCTTTGGTTTACAAAGATAAGTAAGTCATAGTTTCTAGTGAGAACAAAGTCAAACACACCCACATATGATTGCAGCTAGAAGGCTCTGTGAAGGCCCAGGACCTTAGGGGAAGGAGGCCCTCATGCCAAGGATGGTGGAACTTGATGGGTGGGATATGATGTCAAGAAAAGGTGAAGTTTGCAGAACCTTCCAGAAAGAGACGCTCAGGAGGTAGATGGCATAAGGGCCAGGCTAGGGAGAAAGGGGCTGCTCGTTGGAACCCCTAGAAGGTCTAGGAACACGGATTTGAGTGCAGTGGTTCTTTTAGAGATGGTCCCAGGAAGAAGCAGCGCAGAGCTGCCGTTGGGGAGGTGACAGGAGGTCACAGTCGTCAGGCTTTTGGGGAGTCATTGTAGAGCACATCTAAGGATCACCAGGAGGGCAAAGAAGCTGGGTGGGGAGTTGCGCTTCCCTTTTGTCCTGCCTAGGGCAAAGAAAAGCCCCAGGAAGAGCATGTGGGTACTTGCCTTTTTGTCTTTTTGGGTATGGAGTGTATGTGTGTGAGTGGAGGCCAGAGGACGCCACGTATCTTCCTCTGTGCGTGTCCACCTTATTTTTTTTTAAGATTTATTTATTTTTTTATCTGTATGCAAACACGAGTTTATGTGCACACACCAGTGTGTGCCTGTGAAAGCCAGAGAGCGCTGGATCCCCTAGACCTGGACTCAAAGGTGGTTGTGGCTACTGAGAACCGAATCCAGGTCCTTTGCAGGAAGAGGCGGTGATATGAACCAAGCATCACTCCATCCCCTCGCTTTACCTTTTTGAGACAGGGTCTCTTTGTGGCTGGACTGGTTGTCAAGAAGTCTCTGGGATCCTCCTGTCTCCTTCAGGCCCCAGCATTAGAGTAACAATCACATATGGAAATTGCCAAATTCCCAGCTTTTTCTTTTCTTTCTTTCTTTTTCTTTTTTTTCTTTTCTTTTTTTTTTTTTTTTTTTTTTTTTTTTGGTGGGGTGTGGGGGTAAAGGGTTCTTTGTGTAGCTCTGACTGTCCTGAATCTCACTCTGTAGCCCAGGCTGGCCTGGAACTCACAGAGATCCGCTTGCCTCTGCCTCCCGAGGGCTGGGATTAAAGGCGTGTTGCTACCATGCTGATAAAATTCCCCGCTTTTATGTGGGTGCTGAGGATCCGAACTCAGGACCTCATGCTTGCACAGAGACAACTTTACCCCCAGTGAGCCGCTTCCTGGACACCCCCAGCCCCCAGAGCATCTCTTCAAGTGTAAAGTAAATGCAGCCGGATGTCAGAGAGGCTGCCACACTGACTGCTCCTAAGGAGAACCAACAGCCTGGACACAAGAGAGGGCACCATAAATTATGGGTTGGCCAGAGATAAAGCTTTGAAGGAATGGGGGAGCCGAGCTACTGGACTCACCAAGGAGCTGGGTCTTTGGTAGCAGACAGCTTTCACTAAGGGATCTAGGCAGCAGAGTACCAAGTTCAGAAACACATCGGCTGTGTCCAGAAATTCAGATTAGCCCCATCAACACACAGGATGGACTGACTGGCAGCGCTTATAAGATGTAAATGCTTTAGAAGTCCGGAAACCTCGGACACGATTACTTGTCTGTGTTTCTCCAACCCAAACAATTGCTTATAAGCTGTGATTTCTAGGTTGCTATTGTTGTTTTATTTTCTTTCTTGTTTTTATTTTTATTTTTCAGTATTTCTTTGTTTTGAGGTAGAGTCTCACAGTGGAGTTCCAACTAGCCTGAAACTCTCGATGTAGACCAAACTGCCCTTGAACTCCCAGAGATCTGCCTGCCTCTGCCTCCTGGGTCCTGGGAATAAAATGATTCACCACCACACTCTGACTTTTCTTGTTTTTAATTTTAACTTTTTTTTTTTCCTTTTTGAGACAGGGTATGCTGGTCTTGACATCACCACAGTCCTCCTTCCTCCGGAGGGTTGGCATCACAGATATGCACCGCCACACACCTTGCTTGGATTTTGATATCGTTGTCCTGAGCCTAGCCTGCATTGAAGGGTCTGAGAGACAGGTCCATACTCTACCCGGGAGTTCCTCACTCACTGTGCACCTTGAAGGAGTCTCACGATGCCAAAGAGCGCTCGATTGCCTAGGATGTGCGCATTTTGGAAGCGGCCTGGAAGGGCAGGCTGGCAGGAAGCAGTACTTTGCACCTCCCGTCCCTTAGTCCCTTAGTCCACAGCCGGACACAGAGGTCCGTCTTTCCCCTGCGGTGTTCCGACAAGCCCTCAAGCGGAACTCTGCCTGGCTGTCAGCTCCCTGCAAGGTCTTGGGCCGTCGTTCTGGATCCTCGAGGTGCCTGGACTTTCCCTCTGCCCTTGGCGGACCTCGCGACCTCACCCTATCTCTCTGTAGACGCACAATCGTTGCTCTGGCTGCCAAGGAGCATAAGAAGCTATCCCAGTCATTCAACAACAGGACGGTTTTCTGAAGCGGTTGTGTGGCTTTTCCAGAAAAATCCCCATGGAAAAGGAAATATCCTAATGGTAAACAAGGGAAAACAGAAGGGTCCAGAGTGCACAAACCCTTCCTAGAACGGAGCTACACACCCCGTGGTTCTGGACACGGGAAGGTCGGGGGGATCCGGTTAACAGGATTTTACCGTCTGTGAACGTTGTGTGTGTGTGTGTGTGGGGGGGGAGTCCATGAACGTTGTGTGTGTGTGTGTGTGTGTGTGTGTGTGTGTGTGTGTAGTGTCATTCACTCCACTCTCTTATTGTAGGTACAACCAAACTTAACTCACAGAGTAGCTTTACTGCAATGATTTTAGGAAGAGACTCATCTCTTCTCATGAAGGACCAAAAAATGTCTTCAGGTAAGACGTCTTTCTTAGAAATAAGGGAAGGTCTATCCCAGGAATTCATTTCACAACCGAGGAAACTGAGTCAGAGTCAGTTCTTAAACGTGTCCCTAGACCCTCCTTCAGAAACTTCCCTCAGCCATCCATCAAGCGTTCCTTGGGTGCTTACCCCAAGGACCATTGCTGGGAGCTGGAGAGAAACAACTTGGCAAGACAGTGTCTGTACCCCAGGAGGGGCCTTAACCCAGCTCTGCGGAAATATGCCATTTAATTAACTAGAATCCATGCCACCGATGCTACTACAAAGGCATATTCAAATGCATCTTGAAGTCTGACCTTTTCTTTTTTAAACAAACAAACAAAACATACGGTGCTAAGGCTGGGGTTATAGCTCAGTGTAGACTGCCTTCATGGCGTGCTTGAAGCCCTGCTTTTAATCCCCAATACCCCCATCAGCAGGGACTGCAAACGCTTCTTCTGCTTCGATCTTCAGCTTACTACCCAGGGTCTATTAAGAAACGTGTTTGCTTCGGCACATACTTAATGACATCGTGTAAACCCCTGGATTTTACTGTTATAGCAGGAAACACTAGTGGGGGGGGGGGGTCATTCACTCCGCTCCGTTACTGTAGGTGCAACCAAACTTAACTCACGGAGTTAAGTGTCACGCTGCCATTCCAAAAACTCTAAGGAGAAGACCGAGGCCCATTTCACTTCCGGCTGCAGCCTTGGAAACACCGACAGCAGGCAGCCATCACGTGGAACCATGTGCGACCTTAGGAAGAGAAAGGAACACCGCAAGGGACGCTCACTATGTATTCAAGTTTGTTGTCGAAACACACCCACCGTGTCCATATTTTTGAGAGGTGGTCCAATGAACCACTGGCCTATGGATGCTTGTCATGGCTGGAGTAACCAGTTGGGTTCAGAGTGCAAGATGTGAGGGGAAGTGACCCTCGGGATAGACGGTAAGTGAGAATAAATTCCACCAATGCCACCATGGCGGCTTCAAGGTTCTTCCTTCAAGAACTGGATTTTGGGGCCAGGCAGGAGAGAGCACCCTTGTGATTCCAGCAGGAGGCGGAGCTGAGGCAAGAGGACAGCCTTAAGTTCAAGCCGGTTTAGCTACGTAGTAAGTTCTAGACCAGCCTCGACTAAGAGCCTGTAGGGCAAAATAAATTGGGGTTTGGGCCAGCTGCAATAGCACATATTTGTATTGTAATGCCGGTACTCAAAAGGCAAAGAAAGGGAATTGCTGCCTCAAGTTTGGGGTCTACCAAGTGAGACCCTGCACCCCCCTCCGTCTCTGTCTCTCTCTCCCCCTCTCTCTGAAAAAGGGTTGGGCATGAAGCTCAGTAGAGCGCTTGTCTAGCAGGCATCTCATAAAAGTGAGTGTGGTGGCCCATGCCTATAGTACCAACACTCAGGAAGTGGAGCCAGGCAGACAGGGAGTTCAAGGTCATCTTCAGCTACATACAGAGTTTGAGGCCAACCTGAGCTACATGAGACCCTATCTTAAAAGAAAAAGGAGAAGAAAGAAAAAAAGAACAACAACAACAACCTGGACTTGGAGACTGAGGGTATAGTTCAGTGATTAAAGCACTCGCCTAGCATGACTGGGACCCTGAATTTGAGTTCTAGAATTTGAGTGTAGCCTGAGGATGGGAGGAGAATTGGACTTGAGCTGGTCACTGGCCTCAAATCCCAGGATCTCTCTATGTAGCCTAAGCTCTCCTTGAAGTGGTAACGCCATCATCTCTGGCCACTCTATGGATGTGTGGAGGTGGGTGGGCTCGTACATTTGTTTTGTTTTCTGAGACAGGCTGTTATTATGTAACCATGGCCGGCCTGGAACTCCCTATGCAGACCCGGCTGGCCTTAAACTCACAGTGACTCATCTGCCTCTGCCTCATGAGTGCTGGGATTAAAGGCATTCGCCACCATGCTTGGCTACTCTGTGTATTTGTGACTATACTTGCTGGAAGAAATAGCAGAAACAGCCAGAAACCTGATCTCTTTATCACTCTTATCTTCTAAACCTTTAACAAATGGACCAGCTCCTCAGAAGCCATGCTACATTAGGAACTTTAACTGCAAGGGCTTCTGGGAAATGTAGTTTTTGCTTTCCAGCCTTACCAAGGAAGGCATGTGGAAGTGAAGTAGATCACTTATAATAACTATTACCTCCAGCATTTCTCTCTTACTTTTTATTTTATTTGTGTGTGTGTGTGTGTGTGTGTGTGTGTGTGTGTGTGTGTGTGTGTGTGATTGAGTGCATGTATGTGCACCATATGTGTACAAGAATCTTTGGAAGTCAGAAGAGGTATGGATCCTCTGGAACTGGAGTTACAAGCAGTTGTGAACTCCCATGTGGGTGCTGGGAACCAAACCTGGGTCCAAGAACAGTAAGTACTCTTAACTGCTGAGCCGTCTCTCCAGCCCCACCTCTCTTTGTAAAAATTACATTTACAGATGTATTCTTTATATGTGTAAGTTCAGGCACCTGTGCCACAATGTGCAAGGAGGTTGGGGGACAAGTCGGGGGAGCCCATTTTTTCCTCGCATCCTGTGGGTCCCAGGGATCGAACCCAAGTCGTCAGGCTTGGCAGCGTGTACCTCCACCTGCTGAAC